AAAGAAAGAAAGAAAGAAAGAAAGAAAGAAAGAAAGAAAGAAAGAAAGAAAGAAAGACCAAATCAAGCTTTTCCATCTCTCTCCCGAAGAGGTAGCTTCTCCTCTTCTCTCCCCTACTCTCTGTTTCTCTTTCTCTCTCTCTCTCTCTCTCTCTCTCTCTCTCTCTCTCTCTCTCCTCTTCCCCCTCCTCCCCTCCCCTTTCCCTTTCCCCTCCATAACCCACTAAATAAATACCCACTTTCTCTGCTAAAAAAAAAAAAAAAGAACTAAATCAAAACAGAAAGATTTGCTATGTAAGGATATGAGCATTTGAAACCTGGAGGCCACACAAGGAGAGCCCCTCTCCCTCTGGCCCAAGGATGCCCCTCATCTTCCTATCTTTTGCCTGACAGCAACAAGAATACAGTTCTTTTCAGCCCCAAACACAACCAGTGTGAAGGCATAGACAAGAAAGAGGAAATAAAAGGTAGATAGGAAAACACACTATTGGCTCACGGTAGGAGGCCATTCTACCACAGTGCTTAGGGAGTGAGCCTTTGGGTTTAAGCAGACTCTTGTTCACCCAAGGCCGGGGAATGTTCCTGCTAATGCTCCACATTTATACAGTGCTTCTATTTTCAAAAATACTTTTGTTTTCACTCCCCTGTTTTACCCATCCAAGAATAACTTTCTCCTTTCCACTAGGTCAAATGGCAATTTGTGTTGGACTACATCAAAACCCTTCCCCCACATTTTGTCACACATGAATCTCCAAAACCATGACCACTGCTGCTGGTTTGTTTACTTATTCTGTTGTTGTACTAGTAATAACATCCAAATAGCAAAGTGATTAAATGTCAGTCCACATTCTATGTCTAAATAGCCACTATCTAGATAAACTACAGAACATCTCTGTATCCATGAGAGCCCCTTGTGTGCTTTTCATTCTGGGCCCTGAAAGAATGGTCCCCTGATATGGCTTCTGGGAACATCTTTTAGACAGGATTTTGTTTAACTTTTATGTAAAAGGAATCATAGACTAGAACTCTTTCATGTCTGGAAGGTCATCATTTTTAGTTGGCATAGAAAATAGAAAATGTACGCCACTAAGACTTTAGTAGACATATGTATCATGTATTTTTTAAAAAAGATTTATTTATTTATTATGTATACAGTGCCTTCATGTGTATCTACATGACAGAAGAGGGTATCGGATCTCATTATAGATGGTTGTGAGCCAACATGTGGTTGCCAGGACTTGAACTCAGGACCCCTGGAAGAGCAGCCAGTGCTCTTATCCTCTGAGCCATCTCTCCAGCTCTGTATCATGTACTTTTGTTCATCACCATCACTCTCCTTTGTACCCTTCCTTCCTCCAGAGAGTCTCTGATCTTCTTTCATATGTGTGTGTGTGTGTGTGTGTGTGTACATACATATATATGTATATGCTATTAAATGTAGATTTCACATATGGAAGAAAATATGTGATGTTTCTCTTTCTCTGCCCTAACTTGCTCCCTTTTCTTATCATTCCTCCTGTGTTTGCCTTTCCCTCAGTCTTTGTAAGATTTCTTTATCTTCTTGGAGCTGATCATTCCTCCCTCGGTGGTTTGTTTGTTTGTACCGTTAGGAGATCCAACCCAGTGTCCTGTGTATGCTGGGCAAGTGCATTAGGACTGAGCTAAATCTTCAGCTCTTGGTGTGTTGAGCCTGGTTTACTAGATTACTCAGGCTGACCTTAAACTCTTGATTCTCCTGCTTCTACCTCTTGAGTGATAGAATTACAGAAGTGTAGCACTACCTTCAAAGCATTTATTTTTTTAAATTATGGTGTAGTGTTTTTCTCTGTAAATTTACTATCATTTGTTTTCTGATGGAATTGATTATTTTAACTTTCATATACTGTAAATAAAGCTGTGGACACAATATTATACAAATGAGAGGACAGGTGCATTTGGTTCTCTTTATGACAAAGAATATAATTGCTGATTCAGGCCCCTAAGTGCAGGCCTCTAATTGCAACTGTTGAGGAAGCTGATGCAGAAGGATTCCAAGTTCAAGGCTTGGCTGAACTACGGAATTCAAGCCTGGCCTGGGCAACTTAGTGAAACCCTGTGTCAAATTAAAAAGAAAAAAAAATATGAGGCTGACAATATGGCTCAGTGGTAGAATGTTTGCCCAGAATGTCTGGGGCTGTGGGTTTGATTCTCAGCATTAAATAGAATTGTTGGATGGTAATACAGAGGCAGGTTTAACTAAAGCACAAACTAATAGGTAGTTTTCCAAAAACATAGCATCCTTTTACACATCCCTAACGGTATGAATTCTACATCCTTGAAAATATTTGATGTTATTAATATTCATAATTTTAGCCTTTTGGGTTTCTTCAATCTTCTTTTGTATTTTCTGAGTTATTTGTAAGGCTGAGTGATCCTCACTCAGCTGTATTCCTCATTCTTTTTTCTTCTTGTCTTTTCTTTTAATGATGTGAAAAGTTTTTCTAAGTTTCTAGTCAAGTCTTTGCCTAAGTTTTCTTTAGTACGGGAGACTGAATCCACGACTACAAACACATTGAGCTACACCATTGCCCATGCTTTGTACTTTGCTAATTTTCTTTCTTTCTTTCTTTCTTTCTTTCTTTCTTTCTTTCTTTCTTTCTTTCTTTTTTTTTTTTTTTTTTTTGGTGTTTCAAGACAGGGTTTCTATGTGAAACAGCCCTAGCTGTCCTGGAACTAGCTCTTGTAGACCAGGCTGACCTCAAACTCACAGAGATCCACCTGCCTCTGCCTCCCAAAATCTGGGATTAAATGCATGTGCCACTACCACCTGGCTCAAATCTTTACTTAAACAAGTTATAGGAGCCTTTTTATAATATGGTGTTTCTGAGACTTTGGATGTATCTTAGGTGGTGGAGTGTTTGCCTAGCATACACAAAGCTCTGGGTTTGATTTCTAGCAATGTATAAACTTGATATGGTAGCACGGATCTGTGTTCCCAGCACTTGGGAGGTAATCAAGAGAAACAGGAAGCTCAAAGTCATTTTGACTACATTAGCAGTGGGAGGCCTTCCTGGACTTTGAGATTTTCTCAAAAACAAACAAATATGCCTTTTAATGTCAGGACTCAGGAGGCAGAGGCAGTCGGATCTCTGTGAGTTTGAGGCCAGCCTGGTCTACAAGACAAGTTGAGGACAGTCAGAGATGTTACACAGAGAAACCCTGCCTCAAACAAACAGTGGGTGTTTGCATCCAATGAATGGCAACTTCCTTCTTGTCTTTGTTTTGCAAATAAAAATTAACTTATAAAACAGATAGAATTGCATATTCAAAGATAGGGAAAATATTCTGAGGTGTAGCCCATCATATCCTTATGAACTAAAGAAGTGAGTCAAGGGAGTTGGGAAGATTTCTTGTGGGTGGGGCACTTGTCATGCAAGCGTGGGGACCTGCAATCAGACCCCCAGCCATCACGTAAGTGCTGGTCAAGCACTTTTAGCTGCCTGTAATCACAGTGCACAGAGAATAGAGATGAGATCACTGCAGCAAGCTAGCTAGTTAGACTTGCTAAATTGGTGAGCTCTGGGTCAAACAACAGACTGTACCTCAATACATAAAGTGGTAAGAAGTGGAGGATGACAGCCAACATCAGCTTCTGGCCTCTACATGCATGAACATATATATGCACACACACACACACACACACACACACACACACACACACTCATGCCCATAAACACTTTTAAGCTTGTATATAAACACTTATACACAATACATGAGCCCACATGCGCGCACATACACACACAAAAGGAACTGAATCATGTTCTCGAATCAATTATCTAAAAGGTCATAGCTTAATTCGGTTTCACTCACCACTAAAGCATCTGTTGACACCCTCTAGGGATTCTAAGGCATGTAAGAGAGTTTCTCTCCATGAGGTGTTACTATTGAGCAAGCAAAGGCAAGTAGGTCAACCAGGACTCCAAAGAGGATGTTAAAGGGCATGCATAATGCGACGTAGGAAGGGGGAAGGTAGAGAAGGAGGAGAAAGAGGAGAGGCAGAGACTAATTCATTCTAAGTGGGTCGGGGAGAGGGCACTC